GAGTCCACATCAAGATTCCACGTTTCTATATACTAAACCTTTGTCTGCCATTGGATTTTGGTTTGCTTTGGAAGATTTACCGTGGATAATGGATCTTTGTGGTTCTTACCTGGATCTCATAAAGCAAATATTTAATGTTTCTTTCATAATTCTTTAATGTATATTTGTTAAATGTTTCTTAAATCCTTCGAATTCTTCATTGATTAAAAAATACGCAGCTCACCCAATATCAACAAGATTTGTCCGCGCAAAAACAGGTGATGGGAAACTTACTACTGAATTTATACCAATTGATAATGAAGTTCCGTACGATGAGAGTCAATTTGTGAATGGTAAAAAAAAATTTTATTCAAAATAAGAGATTCCGTTATCATCCCATTAAATATACTCACTTTTTATCTAGAGGAATGTAAAGCAGGTACCTTGGTTCTTATTCATGGATCTGTTTTGCACAAGAGTGAAGCGAATCGAAGTGGACGTTCTCATTTCATATATACTTTTCATGTGATAGAGGGGAACTGCAGAATATGATGAAAGAAATTGGTAATATACTACTATTTGTGTCTTTTTATAAATTCTAAACTGCAGATATTAATTGAAATATAATAATTTTATTCTAGGTTGCAGCCTACTAAAGAAACACCTTTTAGTTCTTTATATTGATAAGTTACCTGTGCGTATTAACTGATGCATACGTATAAAATATGGCACGACATGTTTCTTATCACATGATATAAAAGAAAATAAAACGGATTTTTTTATATCGAACCAAAATTTTCAAAATTTTCATCAATTTGTAAGTCTTATAAAAATGACTGGTACGCGAATAATAAATAATAAATTGCACATTTCACTGGATAAATAATATTTAGGGAAACCAGAAGCTTGTAAAGTTCTTCGAACTATGCAAAAGCTTTGAGAGGGTGTGTATGAGTGAGGGAAGAAATCATCTAACAGACTTCAAATTTATCTGGTTTTCTTTGTTTTTTCACGATATAAAAAATGATAGACTACCAAGAAGAACAGCAACAAGAGTTGGAGGTTTTACGTTCAATATATCCAGACGAGCTAGAAGGTATTTAAACACTCTTAAGGTTCAAGGTTTTGTAAGTAAGACATAATTTGAATTCTAATTCTTTTAATTATTTAGAAATTTCATCTAATGAATATAAAATCAAACTCGAACCTGATGAGCAAGATTCTCTGGCTCCAAGTAATCTTCCTTTCCGGCGCGCGTTGTTTGTTTTCATATTAATCAAGAATAAAATAAATTGATCTTAATATTACCAGTAACGATAGCACTGCACATAAAATACACACCTACATATCCTTATGAAATACCCGAGATATCAATAGACACACTAGACGGTTCATTATCGCCTGATGATCATGATAAATTGTTGCAGGGACTATTGAATTCCGTATGAGTTATCAAGTTTACTATTTATTTTTCGAGCGTTTGGATTTTCATGCAATTAATAATTCATCTATCAAATTCTAAAGGCGCAAGATTCGCTAGGAATGGCTATGATATTCACATTGGCCTCACTTTTAAAAGATGAATTGACAAATTTGGTGATAGATAATAAAGAAAAGAGACGACAAGATGAAGAGAATAAGGTTAGAAGAGAGATTGAGGTTAATTTGATTTTTACTTTGATATTTTATATTACATTCTATGTCAATTTATCGTTATAAATAAAATTTGTAAAATTTGTATTATTAGGAGGAACAAGCACGATCCCAAGGTACAAGGGTGACAGTAGCGGCATTTCTGGAATGGCGAGAAAAATCCAATAAAGAAAAAGCTGAGAAAGAGCGCATAGAAAAAAGGTGCCGCTGCGTATAAACGTGATGAGACAAAAAAATTGAAACCGAAAACCATCAATTATTCAAACAGGATGAAACACTTGCTAAATCTGATGTTACGTTTATGGAGGAAGGTGATGTATGATGAAAGTTCTGATGAAGAGGAGGTGTTGAATCTTATACGGAGTAATACAGATTAGAGATCAATTAATTTATTTTGGTTCGGATATTTTTATCAGAGACAATGAATGTATTTGATATAAGAATTTTTTAATTTGGTTTGTATTGCTATACTTCTTTTTTAAGTGGCATCTTTGAAGAGCAAAATTTATTGAATCGATCAAGGGATCTTTTTTCATAGAATAAGCATATTAATGGTAGATTTCATATGTTGGGCTAACCTTATAATGATTCTTAGCACTTGGAATACTAAATTTTCGGATGGTGAATAAGAAACTGTTTCATTATGTATAAAAATTTTATTGTATTGATTATTTTATCTTATCTTGCAAATCAGATCTAAGTTGATTCAATATATCATTTTTATTTTGTATAATATCAATCTTTAGATCCAAAGTTCATTTTACAAAGTAATGGAATCAATTTTAAGGTGTTAGAGTTGAGATTGAGATTATACATAAATTGCTTCAACTTTTCATTTTTTTATGTTGAATTTGTTTTGCTGGCTGATAAATTTATGCATTCTTATTGGCTGCTGGATGATGATTTGATAACATCTTTCCATATTGTTTGGTCAATTTTAAATTCCTTTGTAAAATGTCTTCCAAAGGTATTGAATTTTTACTTCAAAAAGCGGACGAAGTAGTGACCGAAAATCACGTAGTAGACTTCTTAAACACTCATTTCGTAGAGCTGGAAGATCTAGAGTAATCAGATTCTATCTTAACACTAGTGGAAACCAGACAGCAAAATTTAATTGAAAAAGCGAGTGGTACTGAGAAACAAATCTTAAGCTACTGATATATATTTCTGATGCACACTTAAATTTTTACTAAAGTCATCTGCGATAAAAGCTGAAACTTTAACAATGTTAAATAACTCACTTGGATACTTGAAAGTTACCGAGTCACAACTTGAAAACCTTCAAGCGATACATCTAGAGTTGGAGGATGCTCTAACAGAACATCAAATTTCTATTAGATTGAAAAATCACGGTAATGAGTCGATCGAATCAGAAGTAATTAGCAATAAACAGTTGGTGAGCAACTTGATCATCTTGCAAAAGAATGTGAAAAATCTGTTGCAAGCCAAGCAATATTTAAATATTCTTGTTATTGCAGATGAATTGAGGTGAACAGAAGCAAAAATCAGATTTGATTATATGACGGACTTTAGAATTATCTCTAAAATTTTAAATTTATTTATATATTATTTTCTTTTCTTGTTTAGTACCAAGGCAAAGCAATTAGTAGAGAAATCATCTCAGAAGGCACTAGTACCATATACGCAACTTACTCATATTGCGCGTAAAATTCAATCTGATAGTGATTATCAGATTTTGAAAAATCTTGATGGATTTATAAGAAAAAATTTGGATGCACTTTGGGAGGACATGAAAAGTAAACTTTCAAAGTGAATAACAATTTCAAGTAACTGTATTTTGTTCTTAATCATCTTTATTTTATTTGTAAATTTTACATATAATATTCTCCATTGCTAGGAAATTTCAACACATATTAGATTCATTGGGATGGCCAACACCGTTAAAAGTTCTATTACCTAATGAGCTACAGGAAAAGAAGACAGCTTTTACAAGAGCTTTTTGCAAATTATTGTTGTTGCAGAATCCGACTGGAATAGAGGATTCTGATAAAATCGTTACAAATAAACTCATTCTGTTATTTCCAATATAATTGATGGCCGAACCTTTAATAACAAGATTCAGATATCATTTTGATATGAAAAGACTGACTAATCAAATTGATAAGGTTTGTTCATGATAATTTAACTTGTTTATTTTTATAAAAATCAATCTCTCACTATATTATTTAATTCAATTTAGCTGGAATGGTATTTTACACATATCCTCACAGCTATACACGACCATTCTTCTTTCTTGACAGAAGAAGTGCAAGTTATTATTGATGAAGCTGGATTTAATAAATATAATGTAAAAGTAGCTTTTTATCAATTCAATAATTGACTACTTTCTAAAATAAATGGATTTTTTTTTAATTTTATTTATAATGATAACAGTCTAAGATTATTTTGTTAATTGTTGTAAACAAGAATAAAATGCGATATGAATAAGTTTTAATTTTATTTTATAACTTAT